TCCGAGTCTGTCTGGCACCTCCTTTATTATCTATTCCTACATTTTTAAAGAAATTCTCAGAGGTGTTATTTATCATAAATTATATGATTCTTCAAAACTGCCTCAATTAAAAAGGTCACTATTCATTGGTTGACGCAAAATGAGAAGCGATTTTAACTAATGATTAAAAATATATTTCTTTCAATTATGCACTAATTCATACGTTAACATAGATTAATAAGATGAATATTTGAAATTGTATTTATTGTATTTGTTTTTCTAACTGATAATTCAATTGTTAATGATCAGCGATTTTAATTTATAAATGAGCCAAGTTTGATAAAATATATTCTTGTGAATTCTTGTGATAATCTGAGAATAAATTAAAAAATTTGTTCCAAATTGGCGTACTGGATTAAACCTTTTGGTGTAACTAGCCACGAAAACACAAACTATAGTACCTTATATACCACTTTGCTAGGAACTTAGTGCCCATCGCTACAAAGAAAATATTGAAAATATTTGTTTTTAATTAATACATGTTTTTAATGTGTTTACATCGAAATTGGATAGATGTTGATAAAACTGCACAAATATAAAAAAATAATTCTTGGTTTTAGACTTACAAAATAAATAAATTAATTTTCTAAAATACTCTAATAGTTACTGATTCAGCGAGAAATGATGGAATCAACATCAAATTGACATCAATTTGACGTCGATTTCATTTATTACTGGGAATTGTTTGTGATTTTTTTACATGTATATCTTTTTATCGAAAACTGACATTTTTTATTGAAATTCTATGTGCGTCAACGTAAAAAATTTAACACAAAAACTTAACAATACAGATGAAGCGAACAAAACAAATGCTCATCGCTTGGCACTCACCACTGAAGGCACTCAAGTTACTCACTAAAAATTACCTTTTTAAAAAAAGATAAAAAAAGGATGTCAAGTATAGTGGACGTTTGAAAAAAAAAGAAACTGTTGTTAACCAAGTTAAAAAATAGAATCTAATTGATAATATCTTTTATTTTAAAGAAATAAAATCTAAGTGGTATGTATCTCTGTATCTTCATTGAAGATTCTTTTTACTCCAATCCATGTGATAGTAGTTTTAATTCTTTAAACAAAATTGTGTTACGAAATTGCTATAGTTAACTCAATTCTAGTTGTGATCAAATTAAAAAATAAAATCTAAGTGCTAGTATCTTTGTGATTTTTGTATTTATTGAAGAGTCTTCCTTCTAACTCAAATGATACTAGCTTTAATTAAAAAACAAAAAAATTTTTTTACCGTCATTGCTAACTCAAATGATATCATTTGTATAAAAGATTTGATATCAATAATTAGCGTAAAGTTATAATCCTATAAAAATTGCGTTATTCTACTAAACTCAATATGTGATATGTATTAAAAAATAAAATCTAACTGCCAATATCTTTTATTTTAAGAAAATAGAAAGTGACCTAAGTGATACGTATCTTTGTATCTTCATTGAAGTATCTTCTTTTTACTCTAACCCACGTAGTAGTCTTAATTCTTTAAAAAAATTTGAATTTTTAATGAAGATGTTCCTATTCTGACCTAAATGATACTAGCCTTAATTCTTTAAAAAAAATTTTGTTTCCACATTGCCAACTCAAATGATTGTAATAATGTATAAAATTTGTATAAAGATTTGATATCAATAATTGGCGCCATGTTATAGTCCTATAAACATTGAGCTACAAGTCCACTTTAGTCAAATTACGTATTTCAATTGTATAAAAGATTTTATATACCACTATTTTAAAAAAATAAACGTTTAATAAACATATATAAATGCT